AATCAAAGTGCGGACTCGAAAGTTGAGTTATAGATGAGTAGAAAACCAGTGAAAACGCCTTCACACAATGCATGCTATTTTCTAAATTTGAGCCCCAAGATTTCATGCTCATTTTGTCCAATCAAAGGTAGCAGAAAACAACAATGGTAGAAGGAGGCCTACGAATTTTCTCACAAGATCATGGGCGGTGTTGTCACCTAGATCCACTCCTTTCTTGGATCACTCCGTCAACTTGATAGATAGTGACCTGCGGTTTTCAGTTTTGGACACTAGACATCTGGTCGGATGTTTAAGATACGCTCATTTATTCACGAAAAACACGCAGTTCATGTATAGATGCATGGCTATCTACACGGCAAAACACGAACTTCCTGTGAAGATACACTGACTTCTTCACGAGCAAACACGAACTTCTTGAGGAGATAGATTGACTTCTACAGGAGAAAACAGGAACTTCTTCTGAAGACAAATTGATTTCTTCACGAGAAAACACGATGTTTTTGTAAAGATACGTACATTCCTTCACGATAAATACGAAGTTCATGCGTAGATGCATGGCTTTCTTCGCGAGAAAACATGAACTTCTTGCTAACATACATTGAATTCTTCCCGAGAAAACACGAAGGTCTTGGGAAGATACGGTCATTTCTTCACGGGAAAAAAGGAAGTTCTTCTGAAAATACATTGATCTCTTGAGGCGAAAACACGAACTTCTTGTGAAGATACATTGACCTCTACACCAGAAAACACGAAGTTCTTGCGAAGATAGATAGATTTCTTCACGAGAAAACACGGACCTCTTGAGAAGATACATTAATTGCTTCACAAGAAAACACGAACCTCTTGAGAAGATACATTGATTTCTTCACGAGAAAACAAGAAACTCTTGCGAAGATACATTGAGCACTTCAGGAGAAAACACGAACATCTTGAGAAGATACACTGATTGCATCTCAAGAAACCACGAACCTCTTGAGAAGATACATTGATTACTTCACGAGAAAACAGGAACCTCTTGCGAAGATCCATTGATTTTTCCACGGGAAAACTTGAACCTCTTGAGAAGATACGTTGATTTCTTCACGAGAAAGCAAGAACTTCTAGCGAAGATACATTGAGCACTTCACGAGAAAACACGAACATCTTGAGAACATACACTGATTGCTTCTCAACAAAGCACGAACCTCTTGAGAAGATACATTGACTTCTTCATGAGAAAACTCGAAGCTCTTGAGAAGATACATTGATTCCGTCACGAGAAAACTCGAACTTCTTGAGAAGATGCATTGATTTCTTCACGAGGGAACAAGAAACTCGCGAGAATATACATTCATTTCTTCACGAGAAAACGCGAAATTCTGGAGAAGATACCTTGGGCACTTCACGAGAAAACAAGAAACTCTTGAGAAGATACATTGATTTCTTCACGAGAAAACACGAAATTCTGGAGAAGATACCTTGAGCACTTCACGAGAAAATACGAACCTGTTGAGAAGATACACTGATTACTTCGCGAGAAAACACGAACCTCTTGAAAAAATACATTGGTTTCTTCACGAGAGAACAAGAAACTCGCGAGAATATACATTGATTTCTTCACGAGAAAACAAGAAACTCTTGAGAAGACACATTGAGTACTTCACGAGAAAACAGGAACCTCTTGAGAATGACGACGATACCATTCTTGTGCTTTGCCAGCTAGTCGTTCTGCCACAAAATCTCGTCGTTGTTGTGGATTCATAGCAGTATTCTCAATAACAGCTAATACAGAATCAAGCCAT